ATTATGAATGATGAGAATTAGAAAGATTCATAAAGTGGATTGCCATGCTAAGCACTAAAGAAATATTTGAATCATACATAAGTTTTGCAGTTCCACTCTTGTTGCCAGACAAGGTTTTTCTTTAGGCTGCAATGTCCTTTGTGGTCCCTGAGCCTGCTCTCATCTGCTTTGCAGAAGGATGCAGTTTATAAGGACATTGAACTCCTGCAATCACTCCTGCCGAGTTCCATATAAAGCAGTTAATATATTAGCAATTTAATATACAGTTTGCTGATTTGTGATGAACCTATTGCTCCTGTCACCACTGGGAGCTTCAAGGCCTGGGGCCAGCCATCAATCCTAGGCTGGAAGACTGGGCTTCACTCTGGCAGGCACCCCCAGTAGCTCTCCTCACACAGGCCTCACTCACAATATACATTTCATACATTGGCTCGTAAAGAAGCAAGCCACAGTCTCCTCTGGAAAATGAAATAAATCCATTTGTCTTTATTTGGGTTGGTGTAACACTAAACATTCAATGGAGACTTTGGAAAAACTGCCAGTGTGTGTGTGTGGAGGGGTGTGGGGGTGAAATTGACACTTGTGTATGTGTGTATGCGTGACATGTGTGACATGCCCCCCCCCCTCCTTCTGATGCCCCTCAGAATATAGTAACTCATTGCTCTGACATGTTTACAGTGACTCCAGAGGGGTACATGCACACACGGGTGTTTACGGCATATTTAACAATCAGCAGGTCCAGCTTTGTCATTTGAGTTTTGCTTTGCACAATTACACTAACTCAAGACTAACCCAAACTTTAAAACAGCTTTGAAGGGGACTGTTTTTGTCTTGTGCCTGCCTCTTCTCAACTTCCTCTTTATTCTCTGTCCACCATTAAAGGGGCTAGAGATACGTCTGCCATGCAGTACAGAATTAAAAAAGAGAGAAACTTATCTAACAACTTATTACCAGGCTTACATTTTAGAAATAACAAATGTTTTCTATATTTATTTTTCCAAGATTAGGAGAACAATTTCTTGATCCCTGTAGTGCTGATCCGTTAGCTATCCGTTAATACGTGCTTGTATGTGTGCACATTCTTGTTGAAATTACAAAATTCTTTGTTCGTATGTTCATAAAAAAAAAAACATAGAGAAATTCCCTTCTGTGATAGTGATGAACATCTAGTGAACCTAAGGTCAAAGAGTGATAACGAATTATTCTTTGTTTAAAAATGAGTCCAGCTAAATGGATAAATCCAGATAAATTGAAGGATTTGTTTAATGTAGCATCACAGGTGCTATAAGATCGCTACAGCTTTCTGAACTTTATAGTACATAATAAATTGTCCTATGTAGCCAGCCCAACCTTCCAGGCACTTAAACATGCCATTAAAGGATTTGCAACCGCTGTTTAAGCAAGTTGTTGTACATTAACATGAGCCACTTTACTCCCCCCCCCCTCCCTTTGTGTTTTCATGTTCTTCATTTGCCAGTTTTCTATCACCTTTCCTCTCCTTTTGTTCTCCATCTCTATCTCCACCCAGTTGCTCTGAATGTGCTGCATGTGAAGGGCTACCTGCACACCATCCCACTGAATGGGCTGACTAGGCATGTGAATGAGTGATTTGGCTGGGTGACTGCCGCCTGCAGTGTGTGTGTGTGTGTGTGTGTGTGTGTGTGTGTGTGTGCGCATCTCTGGGGGCTCCTGTGATGACGCACATTGTGACGGGGGGAATGCTAGGGGCGGAGACGGGATGGGGGAGGGGGGAGTGGAGGCACAGTCGACTCGCTAAGTTCTTTGTTCCTTCTGCACCTCGACTTGCCACAGCAGTGGTCGCACGCTCCCTTCTTTCACAGAGGGATCATGCTGCTGTGGGTACAGTAAGATGCAGCTGAGCAGTTCAGTTGTGTGTGTGTGTGTGTGTGTGTGTGTGTGTGTGTGTGTGTGCCTCTCACTGAAGACGTCACCCCCTACCTTATGCTTAAAGAAGTAAAAAAAATCTGGCTGTTCTGATTTTAGGGGCCCCAGTATCTGAGCTTCAAGCTACATTCACATT